ATATTCGCCTTTTTTATTTTTCAGAACTACAAAAAAAAAACATAACTTTGAGCTTACACGTAGGTATGTGTGTCTATATTTATTTTTATTTCTTTTTTTAGTGCCAGCAAGTGCTCGCTTGCCGCTGCAGCCGCCGAAACAATCTGTGTCCACCCACTAGCAATGTTTTGATGTTTTGTTTCTGCTCACTTTAACTGACATTCTGACTGTCTCCGTATTCGCTCAGCAGGCACATACGTACGCTATAAAAACTCAGCTGGGCGCTGATTCCTACTGACGTTACCGCTTCCCACTACAACTTGCCACCAACACCACCTCTTACCAGTCATTGTGGCAGGTAATAAAACTGGCATGCAAAATTTATTATTACTACTATTATTATTATTATTATTCCTTTTTTATTACTTTGCGTTTGTTGCAAATGGCAAAATGGATGGATGATGAAGTCGTAAAAAAGCGAAATATGGAAAAGTTCATAATAATCTGTGGAAAGAGTTGCGGAGTGTTTATTTTGATCGTTACAGCGGAAAATTTTTTGTGGCATTTAGTGAAAGTAGTTCTTCGAAAACAAAGAATGAAACACCAAATGGTGGCTGAGTACAGATTTGAATCGAAGTTATTATAGGATCCAATGTGGTAATCTGGTGGACGATGTTCAGAGCATACAGACCTGCTGAATGGCAGTGAAAGTAAACCAGCTGAAGATGTCCAACTCGAAACTCCAATCGAAAGTGATGGAAAGATGTTCCATTGCCTGATTATGGCGAGATCCGATTAATGATTGTCCGCTTAAAAAACAACAAAGCGGCTGCAGCTGATGGTTTACCGGCTAAGCTATTTAAACATGGCCATGAGGTGCTGGTATGATGCTGACATTATCATCTTTACTGACTTTGGTCGGACGACAGCACGCCCGACAATTGGGATGCGACAATTACCGTACGATTAGCTTTCGCCATATCGCAAATAAGCTGACACCGGGTATATTGAGATAAAGATCAAAGTCAACGATCTACAAACTGACTGAATTTTTTCGGTGTACCTTAAGACCTGATGAATCAGAACAAATATACTAAATCATAGAAAAAGGTCCGCAATGGGAAATATGACACACACCACTTCTTCATCGATTTCAAAACCGCCTTCAACAGCACAGTAAGGAGCTGTCTCTGTCAGAGATGGAAAATCGTTCGGTACCAAAAGAGGTTTTAGACAGGATGACTCTTTATCATGAGATTTCTTGAGTTTAATGCTGGAGAAATAATACGAGCTACAGAGCTAAATAGACTAGCTAAAATCTTTTGCAAGAGTTTACAACTGCTGACATAGGCCGACAATATTGATAGCAAAGTAAATCGTGATCTCGAAGGGCCTGCATAGAGGTAATGTAGCGCAGTATTACTAATATTGATACATGCAAGAAATGTAGAGAAGTAGATCAGAGCATGTCGTAGAAGCCCCACACTTTGGATCTACCCGGTCTTATCAGAATTACTAGGGACCGCACAGCTCAGAGAACTGATATATGTAAGTTATCAAAACTAGATATAAAACTTTGCAATTAAACTTGACATTCTATACAAGACCACTATACTATACAAGACTATTTATAATGAGAGTTCTATTCAGCTAATCGGTTCAGTCGGTTCGCTATGTATGAACATCTTCCTAAAAGAGTTAGCATAATCTAGAATTTGTGTTCAATGGTCAAAAGTTATATCGAAAAACTATACACACAGACCTTAAGCCCGCAAACAGCACACTTGATCTTGTTTCTCGGTACACAACTATTTTAGTTTTCAAAGAAGCACTTACATTAGGAAATTCCCTTTAGGGATTTTTCCATCGTATTCTGGGCTTGAATATTTTATTGAGCAACATCATATGGTGAGCCAAGTTTCACTTTTGTTGGTGGGGCTACGCTAAAGATGAGACCTTTTACTCGGTATTTCCAACTTTTGGTAGGATGGTAAGTAAAAATCAAAGATCTTTAGATAAGAGCTCAAGATTTCGTTCGAACATTTTCGAGATGCTCGAGTATTTGACCATCGAATACTCGCACACTCGTTTATTGCTTATAGGTCGAAAATTTTTAGCACGAGCCAGAGCATTTCGAGCATTTTTGAGTATTTTGAATAAAAAAATTGACTTTATTCCCAGTACTTTCTTCTACAAGTTTCATTTTATGCAAAATGTAAAACTCATTGAAATACTAAAGAAAATTTGAAAACTTTCAAATTCATCATTTGAGCAGTTGAGCACCGAACGAGTATCGAACGAGTATCGAACGAGTATCGAGCTTCTTACAAACTATGTCCGATGTCCGGGTATCTGGAGCTCTATTTTATATTTACATTACATCATTTTGTGCTCTCAAAGAAACTACTTATATCCGACATGCTGTTCGTTTTTCGATGTTCGGATTTTGACTGATTCGAAATCTTCGAGGTTTTAAGGGAGATAGACACTCAGAAAAAATAGAAAACTAAATTCTTAATTCATTGCTATACGCAGCTGCTACAACAATTGTTACATAGCAGACCCATTTTAAGTGAATCCCTTCTAAAGGGACAAATGCTCTTCTCTGCAACTGTATGACAATACATACATATATGACTTGGACTTTGGATGTGGTGCTGTCTCACTTGAGACAAATATGTTTCGTTATCTCAGAAGCGAATGCGGATTCCTCTCTGTTTCAGCTACTTGTGTGTGAAGCTACCTCCAGATCATTGCTAGTGAGCAGGATATTAACTATGCGTCGGCTAACTCGCAAGCTCTTTCATTACCAAATCCTCAGACCAGAAACTCAAATTATGGATATGTCGAGTTGATCTGCCAGCGAGCTCAAAACCTTCCAGCAATTGTAATGATACTATTTATTCTTCAGATTACTAAAGCTTTCTTCACCCCTGGTACTACGAATGGGAGAAAGATATTAAGATCCTCGGTGTCTGCCCCGGTTGCCACTCCGCAACACATTTTGTAAAAAGAGTAGGCATCTTTCTCACCTAATATGCCTCTGTTCTATTCACGTTTGTAGGATAACCTCGGTTGGAAGTAACTATCGAATTCCAAACTGTTGACTGATTTACTAATAAGTGTTGTGAGCATGTGCCGGATACCTAAGTGCCTTAGCAAGTTTGATTACCAACTCCGTTTATCTGTTAGCAGAACCATCTGCAACTTTTCGAACACAGATATCTGTAGGCAATTGGTGCAGTATCATGTTGAGGGCATCAGTCGAATAGCTTCTTTACTCCTGCGCATTGTTTACCATTTAATGTTCTGATATTAGGTCAAGTAATAAGTTCGTTTGGGTTTTATCTAAGAGATGGCGTTATTTTCCATAGTACTAGTGTTACTTAACGCATCATGTCATACCATCCGGCGGTGAAAACGTGTTTATTCGCACTAAAAGTTTGTCTTTGACAGTTTTTCGATTGATTGACTCAGTGCGTTGTGAGTGCTCGCCAAAGACGGACACCAGTAAAGAGAAAATTCGATAAATTTTACAATTTTTCTTTGGTTAAGACGAAAAAGCAGCCAAAGCGGCTGAAAAAATTAAATTAGTTTATGGGCCCGATACTGTAAACGAACGTGTAGCACATAAGTGGTTTGCTGGGTTCCGTTACGTTCCGCACCAGGTTTTGCTGTGTGATTGGTAGGATTGGCAAGGAATCATCTACTACGAGCTACTCCCGTATGGCCCTCTACTGCCAACAAATAGACCGCTTGAAGATAGAAATCATCCAGAAGAGGCCAACTTGATAAACAGATGCCGAATTGTGTTCGATCAGGACAACGCCAGGTCACACAGGTCTTTAGTGACGCGCCAGAAGCTCCCGGATCTCGGATGCTAGGTCCTAATGCACCCACCTTATAGTCCGGGCCTGACACCAAATGATTACCTACTTTTCCTGTACATGGCGAACGCGCTAAATGGTGAGAAGATCGGACAAATCTACACAAACTTATCATATTTTGAAAAAATCAATAAAAAACCGAACGAACTTTTTATTGGACCTAATATTATAATGGTTTTCTAACTCCGTCCACCAGGTTTGATTTAAGACCCCAACTCCTGCAAATTATTCCCTTGCAAGTGTTAAACACAACATTTGCTTTGTGTATTCATTTGCCTATTTTCATCTTCCCGTCCAATTTGGTATCAGTCGCAACCTCTTGACATTCGATTGGGACGGACAGCGAAATTGTTGTACTGTTTTTTTGTTTGCTCATTTTAGATATCTATTTTATGGTTTTCTGTTTGTCATTTGAGGAAATATAATGGATTGCACAGAAGGTAAGAAGTACTCATCGGCAAAGAAGTACACTTCATCGACATATTGTATTTAAGAATCAATATTTTGCTCCTGGAGCTCTTCAAAACCGCAGACAACATGATAACTACCGGGTTGGGTACGTCTGTAAGAAGCAAGCGTATGATTGTAGATACATAGGGCATTACTAATAATTCTAATAATTATGCTATATCTCCGAAGCATGCAAATAACAATTATAAATCGAACCAAACTTGTTGACTCCTTGAGGTTGTTGGCTTGTGGCTTTGATATGGAGCAATTTGGTTGGACTTAAGTTTTTGTTAAAAAAAAATATTATACAATAATTATACACATGTTTATTGAAATTAAATAAATTAAAAAAAAATATTAAAATTTGAATTGCTTAATATTCAAAATATTATTTATAATAATATTAAACTTCGTACAAACAATTAAAAATTTAATTTTCCAAACAAAAACTTTATTTAAGTCTGTTATATAAAATCTCTGAAAAAAAGGTAAAAATGTAACTACCTTCGTGATTTCCGCTTTTTAGCCCTCACATAAATTTATTACAAAACTCGTTTATCATTTCTTTACGGCCATAAATAGACTTTCCCAATTGTCGTCATTAACAATTTGACTTAACCTCACTTAACTTGCCGTGAACTGAAAAATGTGAAGTCACGCGATGCACTTCTTGACATTCTTTTTCCCCCAGCTGCCATTCTCAATTCACAAGTTATTGCTTTAATAAGTATTTCTGCGGAAAAGCAAGTAGACAGACAGAAAAGCAAAAAAAAATAAATAAATAAAACAAACAAACAAACGATGTGAATTATAAAACACTCACTCATTCAAACAAACACACCAACACACACGCGCGAAATCATTTCTATTTTATGACTCTCTAGCGAAAAATTAGATAAATTGCCAAATAATATTGCAGTCACGTCAACAGAGTAAACGACAGACAAACTGGCAAACATACGTACATATGAAAATACTTACATATGAAAAAGTATAATTTATAAAAACTTTAACATATTTGTGACAGCCGGGATTATATGTAAGTAGATGGCTCAAGTTGGCCTTGAGTAGGCTACCTCTCTGTTTCTGGGACTATTTTTTAACACTGCTCCTCCTCATGCACTCACGATACACTACTTTGTAATAACTCGATTATTGTATTTTCTCCTTTTTTTAATAAATTTGGAAGGTCCTTATTGTAGCCAAAATTTCTGCACAAATATTTTCAACAAATTCACGAAAAAAATATACAAATATAAAAGTAAAAACAAAAATTAATTAAATCAAAAATGGAAAACATAAAACAAAATATACAAAATATAAAATATAAAACCGAAAACAAATAACACAAAAAAATATTAAATTGAAAGAGGGTCAAGCAAGACTAGAAGAAAACAAGAAAACGCATCAAATCGAGAGTATTGTGCGATAGTCGGCTTAGGTTGGTTTAGTAAATATCACAATGTGATCAATGGCTCTTGTCCCGAAACTATTGATTCTGGGCGCAAACTGATTTTAATATGAGACATCGTGAGATTGAGGCAGTGAGGCATTAATGAAACCAGAAACGAAATTTTGCCTGTAAAAAATTGTTCACGTGAAATCCCACAAAATTTGTCATTCACTGTATCAAGGCTCTTATCGATTGGTCGCGATGTTAAGCAAATACGATAGAGGTGCATCGAAACAATTACATAACATCCATATAGATGTTGTATAGTGGATTTGCGCGTATGAGCCCGAAAAAAGAAGCAGTCGACTGTGAAGTGTTTAGAGATAAGTCGACTGAAACAAAATTTGATTGCGCAGAACAATTAATACTAAGTGATATACAAACACTTTTTCCCAGTTGTCTTTCAAGAAATCAGAAAAAGCAATCAAAATATGCCACTCTTAACCACGAGAAAATAACCTCTCACACATCGACTGAAAAAAGTGTATTTTCCAAGCACTCAAGACATCAATTTGATGAGTCATCCAATGCATGTTTTTTTGACTTAACACCGAATAACTTAAAAAATTAACCGAAGAAGCGATTTCTGCGTTCAGAACACATGCTTTGGAGATATCTCGATCAAAGTGGCAAAAGTGCTTCGAATTTTAGTTCAGCTGCATGCCAAAACATAGAGGACAACCCTCTAAAAAGTAATGGCTAAAGGTGAAACTGTGCAGTTTGCATCAAAGAAGGCCCATCAACAAACAAAAGGAAGGTACGACGTCGAAAAGTTGCAATCACAACATGCAGCTTAACGGTTTTCAACTCTTCTTGCAGTCCTGCTCTCTGAGAGCGGTCATCAGCTACAAAAGAAACTTTTCGATTTCGGAAATGTCGCAAAATCACTGGTACGATGAGGACTACCGTGTCACAGTGGAGAAAAAGCAGGCTGCCTATCACGCTACGTTGCGATCGACCCCTACACGTACATGATGGGATGGATAGACGCATTTGAAGACAAAAACTGGAAGAGGCGAAATGCGTGAGTATGAAGAACATGAGAAGCTGCCCGAAGAAGCGACTGCTATGTAAACTGACCTTAGGCAACACTAAAAGCTACGTTAGTATCGAGAAGAACCTCCCCCCGCCGTTCGATAACAAACCAGGTTTCAGACGTGGTGACTCCTCATCGTGTCACTTTCTTAATTTGATGGTGGAGAGAATAATAAGAGCGGCATAGCTGAATGGAGAAGGTAAAATTTTCTACAAGAATGTACAGCTGCTGGCATATGATATTGGCATTATTGGCCTGAAAGATATGGGTCTGGTGATGAACGTGGGCAAGGTGAAACATCTCTTGTCGTCAAACAAATAGTCATAGCATTCTCAACTCGACTCCTACGTCACTATAGACGGTCATAACTTTAAAGTCGTAGATGACTTCGTCTTTCTTGGAAGCAGTATTGACAACAACAGCAATTTCAGTCTAGAAATCCAACGAAGAATCACTCTTACTAACAGGTGCTACTTTGGATGAAGTAGACAATTGAAAAGTAAAATCCTCCCTTGACGAACAAAAACCAAACTCTCTGAGTCGCTTATCTTTCCCGTCCTGTTATGAAGTGTCGAGGCATGGATTATGACAACATCTAAGAAAAGGGCTTAGCTTAAAGTTTACGGTAGCGACGAATGCTGCACTCGATGGAATTATGAGCTGTATGTGCGAAGTTGACATAGTTCAGCGAATCAAGGAATAGTGGCTACGTTGGGTAGCACATGTGGATCGGATGAATAATTATACTACAGCGTAGAAAGTTTTCGTTGCAATACCCGCAGAGAAAGGAGAAGGCCTCTACTCTGTTGCAAAGACCAGGTGGAGAAGGACCTGGCTGAATTTGCTATCGCGTAAGCGGTGTCTAAGCCAGTAAAGTACCTAGCTAAGTAAATTGTTTTAATAAAACCTGTATATATATATTACATTCCCTTTTTTTGATGGAAAATAACACTAATTTGGGGAAAAACAAAAAAAAAATTTTGAATATTAATCAGAAAAATAAATAACTGCAATAAAATTATAATTAATATTTAACGGATTCACGGATTTTATTTAAGTCTAAGTAGATATTTCTGAGACAAGTAACTTTCAGAAGTAACAAAAAGACATACTTACAGCCCCAGTTTTTAGCATCCGTTTTTTCTTTTTTCTCTTTTGCTCCTACACTTTCTGAAGTCACCTGAACACAACACGTCACTTCAAGCTAAGCAATCACATGGGAATAGCAACTACAGTTTAATCCTGTGAAAGATAGACAGCCACTTCGACTTGCAGCTAAGCTGAAATAAAAGTTGCGGTCAAGCTGTAATTGTTATTTAAATATATATACGTATATACGTGTGTGTCTTGAGCGGCTAAAAGACTAAATACATTTTCTTACCTGGCGTTTGACTATTGGATAAAAGACAAATTGCTATAGCCAAAAGTAGAAATAAATGAGTTGGCATGTACATGGGTATTATATAAAGGTAATATATAAGAATCACATACATATATGTATGTATTAGTAATGAAGTAAAATCGACATTTTCTTTTTTACATGTACATGTTTCTTGTAACTCCAGATGTCTCTTGGCAACCCTGCCTTTGCCTTAAGCAGTCGTTTCTAACATAACACAAAACAATATTTTCCTTGAGCATTAATGGAGCAGCCATGTACTAGAGTTTTGTATCATGAATGCAATATTACATATGTGTTTGTGTAGCTTTATTGTACATTATGTGTTAGATGTTGGTTCTCTTCTTCATTCAAACCCTCAGTCAATTTGCTGTTGTTAGTTTTTCTTTTTTAATCAACTCAACATTGAACACACATCTAATTATCCGAAAATAAAAATAAAACTTTCAATATATGTTTTGGTTTTTTATACTATTTAAATTATAAAATGTTTTCTTTAACTTTTTGATACGAACATCATGAGCAAGTATTGAAAAAAGATAAAACGCAGAAAATCATATTCATGAGATCTCAGTAATTTGTTTATATCATAAGATTTAATTTTTTCCAATGCAAACCCGAATCCTTACACATATCCAAAGAAATCTCCATCACGAACATTGAAAGATTCGTTTTCCTCCATTAAGCAATTGCCCTAAGCAAGATTTGAAATTATTTAATCTTCTGCTATTTGCAACTTGATTGGTTCAGGTTCAAGTTTGCAGGAAAATCCAAATTGTTCTATTTTTGTGTTCATATATTAATATTAAATTTTCGTTACAAAAATTTTAAATTTAAGGTGGTAATCCCTTTTAAAATATTTTAAATTTATTCTGCTTGCTACCCATATTATGTCATTTATTATTGTATTATGCTTAAAATTTTAAAAAGGTGGCAGCCAGTGGAACAATGAGCTGTATTATATGTCATTGTCATAGTTCAAGAATGCTTCAGATTTGAGAGTTTTCGAAGCAATACCCGTCAGTCAAAGCAGAGGAAGAGAAAGACCTGCACTCCGTTAGAAATGCCTGGTATTTCCTGTGACATTTCGGTCTGTAAGAGAAGGTTAAATTTACATAATCACCTAACTGCTCAGTTATATAAAACTTTAAACAGTTTTAAAAGACTAGATTTGTTTATAAATATTGTAAGGCCTTAACATCATCGTTTTACTCGTTCCACCACATATACCGCCACTGTAAGTGAAAGTATACCCGAAAGCTCGAACGCATCTATCTCTCGCCGTTCATAAAAGCCGTGAGAAAGGCTGATTCTGACGTATTTTGTACTCGAACTACATCCATATAAAAACAGCTTACACAACAATTGAAGCCAGTTAAGCATTAACACCTCTGTACACTTGTCAAATGGGGGATTAAACAACAAGCAGTGGATGGCACCATTTTTGGATTTGGAGGTCCGAGAATCCTCAAGTGATTGAAGAGAGGTCACTAGACCAAAAACCAACTTATCGTCTGGTCAAGAGTGTGATTGAACCTTACTATTTAGAAAACAACAATGGAGAGATTATCACCGTCAACTTAGAAATAAAGAGTCATATGGTAACTGACTTTTTTGGCCTTGGAGTTAAAGAACACGACTTGGAAAATATGTGATATGTTCAATAGAATTCGGTCGCGAGAAAATATTGCTTTTTTCACGAGAAAAATTTCCCTGCCGCGTAATCTCTCGTTTTGGCAATGTCAATATGAGTACTGAGATCATGTGATTTGGCATCGTTGGACTTTTTTTGTGGAAACCGTATTTATGCGGATAAACCTTTAACACTTACGCTCTTTAAAATCAACAAACTTCTAGTGATGACTGTTGTACCGCCCATTATGTGCCGCAAAGTGATAGAAAACTCATTAAGGGATGCTGGATGCCGATCTAAGCTAAAAATGGTTTTCGTGTAAAAGATATTTGAAATATCTTTTATTTACCACTGAGGCATTGTTCGGCCGATCACCTTCGCCAACTTGTGGTATGTGTCTTTATATTTTTTTTTTTTCAACAAATC